AACCCACAAATTTTCTTCCTTTTTGTCCCTCCCTTATTTCACGGGGGAGGGGGAGGTGAAGGGCCGGCCCGGCCACGTGGCGTCTGGCTGCCGCCTGTGTTCAGACCTCCACAACATTTGATAGAATGAATCTGTTGTTCCTTGTTAACCACCTCTGTCTTATCGCTGGAGATAGGGTCAAAATTATGTCTTAGAATTCTGATGGCATATTCTAAATTTCCAGTAATGTTTTAAAATCTACGTAAATTAGCTCTTAATTTGTCACCACCTGGTATTTGTTTAATTATTTGATAGAAGGGGAATTTCAGCAAGGTACAGCTTCACAAAACTAAGACCTTTCCTCGCTACATATATAATATTAAATATTTATTGATACCTACATGCACACTGTCTCCCCCCATTGACCAACAACCAGAAGGAAATATTTTGGAGACTTATAAACCCAACATGTATTTTCTAAAATTAATATCTTTCATGTGTAATATAACCTTGATAAGGAAGAGGAAAGACACACCACAGTGCCAGATATATAAAACAGAGCATTTCATCAAATCAGGTTGAAGAAGAAATATAAAAAATCATGTAATCATACCTTGTACCTTTTACTTGTACCCAGATTCAAGAATATGCCTTGCTTTGAACATGCTTCTGCATTTTCAAAACCATATTCTTCCATATTTACTTTAAAACATACCTTGCTGATATAACTCATTTCACAAGAATTTTGTTCTCTGCAAGTTTTGGGGTGTTTTTTTTATTCTTTTTCAAGAGACAAAAATATATGCTAAGTCATTATTAAGACTATAAGACCACCTCTATCCAAGATCTCCAGCAATGGCCATTTGTTTCACTGGAAGTGGCCTCTGTAGCCAAGGCTGCAAAGGTCTGCAGCAACATGTTTAGACTCCCGATTATTCACACATCATGCTGCTTATGGCTGAGCAATCCCACTGAATGAAGAGCAAGGATAGTTGCTGGTGAGACAGATAAATTATATGATTTTGCTGGCAATTCAATAGCAGCTGTAAGAAGATAAATGTTTCTTAATTTGTAGACTTTTTACTGAGTAGTGTGTACCACCATGAAAAGCTCTGAGGTGTTTCTATTAAAACATGTATATATTGATCAGAGTACAGTATCATCATCTATTTTTGTGAGTGCTGGAGGGGAGTTTATGATTCCTCTTAAATATATTATAATATTTTCCATTAGTTTAACTTCAATTCTCAGACAAAAAGTTGAGGCAAATAAACAAACTATAAGCACATCGAAGAAAACGAGATGAACAATACCCAACATAGAATACGAATCAAATTAATTGCCAAAACAAACTAATTTAATTGAACAGCACAGTAACAAGACCTTCTGACTAGAAGAAAAGTGTAGGTGTCAGATTTCTTGCTTTTAGTAAGGCTTTTGATACTGTTTTATAAATGTACTATGCAGACTAAATGAAACAAATATAGAGTAAATTGGAAAACTATCCTTGGAAATTACTTAGCAATAACCCAATGTTAAAACAGAAGTCTGTAGTGAGTAGGGTTTTATAGTATTTGATACTATTAATTTACTACCTGTATGATGGACTACAGAATATTCTTATTAAATTTACAGTTTACATGAAGTTGGTGGGATGGAAAACATGTTAATGGATAAAACGGGAATTCAGAATGATCTTGATACATTAGAGAAAAGATCAGAGGAAAAATTATGAAATTCAACAGAGGCAAATGAGGAATCTATGTCACAATAGTCAGCTGAACAACTCAGTCATTTTGTAGAAAAAATCTTGGAACTGTAGTGGACAACAAGATGAACTTGAGTGAACAATTTCATGCTGTTCCAAAATAAAATTACTAATCTCATGCTGGAATGAATTAAAAAGAAGCAGGTAAAGAAGTCCTTCAAAAGCTTAATAGTGCTTTAGCTTCCTAGTTGTAGAGGATTACCTGAAGTACTGTACTCTTGGGCCATCTACTTAAAAAAGTACTTCTCTACTTAGAGAAGTGTCAATGACTCAGAGTCTAGAATGTGAGTCCTATGAAAAAAAAAGTGATTTTTTTTTTTTTTTTTTAATTCTAGAGCAGAGAAGATTAAGGGGTAGCTCACAGCATTCTTCAAAGAAATAAACAGGTATTCAAAGATCAAACAGCAATTCTTTCATCATTTCTATGATAGAGAGATAGAAGGGACTTGTAGCCACAAAGGTTCAATTTAGACATTAGGAAGAAGTTTCCTAAAAGTAAAAGTAATGTATGGAAAAGGTTAGCTGAGAAGGTTGTACAGATTACATCAATTAAGGAACTTAACAGCTGATTAAAAAAAAGCCAGAAACAACAGAGGGATAAACTGATGCTAACCAGAGGTGAAGAATAGGCTGGATGTCCCATTATGAAGTTCCTCTCAGTTCTCTGATATCAATCTTCAGGTTGTCAAAGGGCATAGAGTGACATAAGATAACTTCAGAAACATCCCCTTACATCAAATGCAGGTATTTTTGGCAGGGATTTTGTTTACTGGCATAGAAATAAATAAAAATTTTAAGTGATTGAATTTACAGACAGGTGTCCCCAAGAATGTTTCCCTAGGAAATAAACTGAATTTCATCTCAACATCTATGTGGTGTAGATATAAAAACTTAAGTGATGTTTTCCAGAAGTGTTCTACTACCATTTATGAGTCTGAGTGCAATCAGCACTGAATTAAGTGGGAAAAATGTACTAATAATTTTTTAATATCTCTGATGCCTAGAATGCACTGCAATATTTGTGTCCAAACCTGTGCATGAATCTGCATAGAAGCATGACCATTAGCTTGCCTGCACTAAAAAGTGGATGTGAATATTGACTGTATCATTATTCTGTGTTTCTTAAAATAGAAATGCATGTGAAGTGATACAGATTGTCCTGAAACAATATAGACAAGTTTCCTATGGACTCATGGAAACATCCTGAAATAGTTTTAGCAAAGTATTGGGAGTATTTTTTTATTTTCTCAGCTTTGTTTTGCAGCATCAAAGCCCATATAGTAATGTAAACATCAAGAAGCTGCTTCTATGTCATTTCAAAGTTCTGTTGCAGAAAACCTATATAGAGTAAAATTAGACTTTTGTCGCAAATGAACAAGGTGCTTTAATCAGTATCTGGTGCGACAGCAATAAAACAAGGGCAAATGTGTGTTCCAAAATAACTTAAAATAAAGTACAATTTATTCTCTTATTAGAATTCTTCTTCACATAGTTAACAGTAACCTGAGTAGTTAAAAAAAAAAAAAAAAGGAAAAAAAATCAGAGGTGCAGAGGTGCACTAATTGCAAAGTTAAAGATTTACTTGAAACGTCATATGAACTGGAGAAGTCAATGAAACATACATGACCCCCTCCCTTTTTTTTTTTTTTTTTGCACACATAATGTTAGGTGACAAAGGACAGTAGAGTTTAAGTGGGTTATTGCGGGAGAGCTGAGCACGCACACGACCAATGTGATCAAGCAATACCCATTTATTACAACTAAGAAAGCCCTTTTATAATGTTCTCCCGCACACGTGAGTAACATGCAGTACAAGTCCTCAAGATTGGACAGTTAACTTAGCCCGCGCTTTAAACCTTCTTATGACTGGATAAAGAGTGCCACATCAGCCTTGCCAGGCTTCTTGCCTTGGGTAACTTCCTCTTCTGTCCCAACCCCTTCCGGGGGTTGTTTCTCTCCTTGAGTTTCTCCCCCCTCATTCAGGGTCACATTGCATTCTTGCTTGGCTGAGGCTCTTATCAGTCTTGTTCTCAGGCAGGATTGCTCACATGTCCATTCTCTCACAGAAAGCCCTCTAGAATCCCAACAGGTTATGTCAACAACTTTTGAAATTCACAACAGCTTTCAGGTGTTTAATTCCTCTTGGGCAAATTGGTGTAGTAACAATATATAAAAAGATGAAGCATGAAGATTTGTTTCAAGGCCATATAGGCTCAAAGCTCAAGTTCCTCTAGGGACCAGACTTTCGAACATTCACAGCTTGGCTAGTGTCAGTCCTCAGTCACAAGCACATCTTGTGAGCTGAGTTCCTTAGCATCACTTGTAGAAGCTGCCTAGTACAGTCAGTCATGGAACAGGCAGAATCCTGCTTTGACTGTATTATCATTTTCTCCTCAACAATTTGTTCTACTTTATACACTGAGAATACATTTTTTAAATGTGTGAGAGAAGGTTCCACAGCCTCATCATCTTCTCCTGAGCCAGGTGTTCTGTGGAGGATAAAATGAAGCATCACACTGAGTGCACACTGGAAATATGCAGTGATCTGGCTTGCCATGTACAGATAAATTCCCCTTATTTAAACAAATACAAATGCATGCGTGCTCACACAGCATCAGAAGTTGCTAACATGCTGGAATCCTTCTCATATTGTTTTTTTTTTCCAGGCAGCTGAAGTAAAATTATTTCTCTGTTCTAGCAGAGCATTTTGTAATATATTTAACTGTAAATATACAACAAAACACCTAGATTCAGTGGACAATGAAAATTGAGCATGTTCTGAGCTTAACCAAGGCATGAAGATATTCACAAAAGATGGGTTTTACATTTTGTAAGTATTTGAGAGTATTAAGAGTTGAACTCCGTGTAATCAAAATTCTTGTTGTTTCATCATGTGAAATGCTTTTGAAAGTCTGTTTACAATTCATGGAACCTTTTTATCCATTTATTATGTTCTGAAAAAAAAAAAATCTCCTCCTTTGATTTAAACTACTTCTATAAAGAAAGTGCCCAAATCATTACCTATAATAAGCATTTTTCAATATTAGTTCTGTTAAATATGAATGAACAATACTTCTCTTTTATGCTAGCAGTGCTTTGGGAGTTTTGCCAGCTTTTGAAATTTGTCTTTCATTTTAATCTGCCAACCCCGTGTGCTATATGTCTGTAGTGAGGAGTGGTTTATATATTCTGCACCATTTTCCTGCTATATTCTATTACTAATAATTTTTGTTTGTTTGTTTTGTTTCCTCAGGCTACATATCCAAACAGAATGGTGAGCCAAAATCTCAGCACAAGGGACAGAAAGTCAGCACATACTCCCACCGAGGACCCTTTTAGATACTCATCAGGCAACCAAGCAACAACCTATGAAACCAAGAGCTGTCAGCTGTCTAATTTGTGTCTGAGCAACCTCCTAAAAGAGAAGGAGATCGTGGAAGTCATCAAGCATACTAGAGGCACATATGAAACCCTTGCTTCAGAGGTCACCCAGAATGGTTTGGCCACCACAACACCAAGTACAACAAAGCCAGCATCTAAGGCAGACAGCTACCCAATATTCTCAGGAGCTCCAAAAGACCAAACTGCTGTGCCTCGGCAGCATACGACTTTCACAGGGAGACTTGGACAGCCTCCAAGAGGACCCATCTCTTTACATACATATAGCAGAAAAAATGTCTTCCTCCACCACAATTTACACACAGCAGAGCTACAGACTTTAGGTCAACAAGATGGGTAACAAGGTGCTTGTATTCTGGCCATGGAAGGAGAGTTGATTAAAGAGGAACATAAACTTACCCAGAGCTCAGTCTTCAGTTTGCACTTGCTGCTACTTTCATCTGAAAAAAATAAAGTAAAAAATTAACATTGTCTGCAGGTTCCATACTTTCCCAACTGAGACTGTGGCAAAAGGGTGAACCAGATTGTTAAATAACTAGATTGATTTGTCATACAAAAGTCAACAACGGGTATAAAAGATGCGACCATTTGGCTGTCATTGCTAGTCCAGTATTGGCTAAATGTATCAATATTTTTTCCTCTATAAGCCACTGTCTTTCCCTGAAGTTCTAGAACATGATCTTAAATAATACTGTGTATGTTTAATAATGTTACTGTTAAAGTAGATGTGAGAAATGAATAGATAAGTAATTAGTAAACCCTCTTGAATTTCATAGAGACTAAGGAAATGAGTCAGAAATCTTTGAGAACCCTCTTTTTACACTTTTTTTTTTTTTTTTTTTTTTTTAAATACAATGAAATTTGCTCACTTATAGAGGTGTGTTACTGTTTCCTGCTGTATGTACTTTATGGATGCTTCATGCCACGAGTAGAGAAAGTGACTGATTTTCCTCTAACAGCAAGGTTCATAGAGGCTCACCAGATATTTGAGTCAGTAATTGGGTCCCAAACAGAGGATGTCATCTTGGTTCCTCAACCTTATCTTCCTTCTCCCCACCTTTATTTAACTACATTTGTTCAAATGTTTTTGTTCTATAGGACATGCTAAGTTGTGATGAAGTTTGTGCTTTAGAGGCACTGCATCACACATGACACAATGTGACATTTTATGCTATGTAATGCATCATATAATCTCAGTTCACTTCCCAAACCAAAAATGGGTGAAAGACTAAAATATGAGAGATTGTTTTATTAGCCAGTCCAGATTACCTGTGTAAATCGTAATTTCTGTAGTCTGTATCATCTGCAGTTAATGATCTGGTTTATACCAACTCAGCAGGTTTGCTAGTCTTGAAATGTTACACACATGTGAGATGATCTAATGCTACTTAACGTACAGCATACTGGTCTCATGGGAATATGAAATCATTTGATCACACCACAGAACTTGTAGACTTGTCAGTAACAAAAGATCCTCTTTTCCCCTTTCAGAGGGCTTGAAAACGGGCATCTCGGTCATGTTACTCTAAACATGTGGCATATACTAAAAATGACACTTAGTTTACAACCTCTCTGATGGAGGATAATGTTTGAATGATAATAAGACATATAGTTAGCAGTTTATAAATAATCTGGCACATGAAGTATGATTGAGGCAGATCTGAGACAAGTCACCTCTCTCTTTAACTGGTGATTAATAACAAGACAAGGGCACATTCTCACACAAAGAAACAAATCAGTGTGACTTAACTGAAGTAGCATATAATGAAAAATTAAGCTTCTGTAGCCACCAAAAATGTTGTAACTTTTAAAAGGTAAGTCACATAGGGCATATAAAATTAATTAGTGATACAAGTTTTACCTTGTGTTAAATATATCTGCTTAACTACTTAATATTCAGATTAATACAAGGATTGCTTAGATCAAGAAAAAAAAAATTAGACCATGAGCTTGGCAGATATTCTGCAAAGCCATTTCAGAAGCCTGAACTTTCAGGATTCTGATTGTTGAGGAATTTAGTTTGGTTAGAGCAAATTTTATGACATTATCTGATGTTGAAGAGAGCAGGTTTTGTCTAAATATTCTGTAGTGGTAATTTTGGATATCCAGAGCTGGATGCATAAGAATCAAGACAAACATTTGCCAAAACTTATTTGAGTTCACGTATGCGTTGCTACTGCCAAAACAGAATGTGTAAAAATTGAAGACAAAATGACCGAATTAACTATGGTTATTCAAGAATCCTAGTTCTGCACTGAAACTCATAGTTTAAAGTCTACCAAAAAAGTTAAAACCAGTAGTAATAGAATTTCACTACTCAGAATTGCATTTTCATCTGAGCAATCTCTTAGTCATGGTAGACTGAAGGGACAGTTAATTCTTATTAACAATACATTTCAGTCTTGTTCATCTCGAGAGTTGATGTATGCAATTATATTTCAGATCTGTAAATAAATTAACATATACTGTAATCAAGGAATTTTTTTTCCAGGATACAAATGTACTATACTACATTTAAAAAACAAACAAAAAAAAACCATTAAAAAAACACAACAAAACTCTTCAATTTTAACTTATGTACTGTATCTATAGTTATTTTTTCCTGGAAAAATGGACTTTTGGGTTACACTTTATTAAAAAAAGTCCGTCTATACATTTCAAAAAGAACATTTTAAATGCTACTATTTTCTTGGAGAATCTTTTATAAAGCTGAAACTTAAAAAAGCTGGAGAAAACAGTTCAGTTAAAGTGAGGGGTATTTTTAAAATGTCATCTTGAAGCTGTTTTGTATCAGTATTTTCAGCATTGTTAGGTTATTTGTAATACTAAGTGTAAATCTCACCCAGAGAAGGGTATTAGCCACATGTTAATGTACAGTACAGCAGTAACTGTAAAACAGAGGTCCTTTAATCCTCTTGTGTATATAGTAAATCATAAAGCAACAGCATGTGGACATTCTTGCAGTGAATTGATTCCTTTGTACTAAAAATCTCTAGTTTTTTAAGAGTTCCATGTATAAAATGATTTATACATTTCTCCAAGGCTGTACATATCCAAAGACATGACACCAGGGGGAAAAGGCACTTATTAATTTTTTCACAGATGTACCTTTTTCCTTTTTTAAAAATATGTTTCTGTACAACAAAACAACTGTAAAATTTCTGCTGAAAATTACTTCTTGTTACTTTCATATCACTGGTGTGATAGCGGGCATTTTAAGGATGAGGTAATCCCCAAAGAAAAGCTGTTTCCATTTGATGCAATGTCCCATTTTTTGAAACAATCACTTGACAGAAGAAACACTAGATCTGTGCCCTAAATATTTTTTAGTAATTTAATAGAGCCACACCTGAAATGGTTTATCATCACTAGACTTATCATTGCTTCCCTTAAAGAGTGCTTCTACAGGATATGTTTATAAGATACAATAACATGGTAGGGCTAGCCCTGGTCATAAACTTGTCTGGTACTGTTCTTATGTTTAGCTTTCAGAGCAGTGGAAAGGTTTTTTTTGGTATACTTTGTGCACATAAATGAAGTTCAATCTGTGTGCTTCTGCATAACGGAGGAACAAGTCTTACTACAAACCTCCTCTCTATTTAGGCTATTTAGCAGCATCTGAAAGCATCCTGCAACATAAATTTCTGCAACCTTTTCAAGACAGGCCAAACCTTTTTACATAAAATGAAACATATGAAATATATTAAATAGATTAATTCTTTTCAATCCAGACTGTTATATTTATCTTCATTGCTTTTCATTTCAAAACACACACATCCACACAGAAGTGCTTTCCTTACATTTTTTTTTTTCCTGGAAATTTTGAGACAGAGTATATCAAGACTAAGATGTTCACATGAGGTTTAGATAAGCATATGAAAACTTGCCTAGGATATTCATGTTTGTTGTACAAGTTCCTTGCAATCACTGCCTAAAAATTGGTATTTTTCCCTTTCCTAAAAGCCAGTTTGGAAGTAGTGATTTCTGCCTGTGCTGATACGCTTTATACTGTTAGATACACAGTATACTCTGCAAACTAATAAAAATAGGCTATTTACAAATCAACACTGTGGTTTACATGCCAGAAATGATGTGCCATGTCTCCAGTGGTTTCACTGGTAAAACACTGACTTCGATTAGACTATTCTAATAAGTCAGTCACCAGATGATTGGAATCGTGGCCTTTGATCCAACTAGTTTATGAACAGGAGATCTCTGAATTCAGAAACCTTTCCTGGTTTACAGAAAAGACAAGAGAAGGTTTGACCTCGTAAAAATACCAGTTCACAAGTTATAGTGAATGTGCTTTTTCTTTTTTTCCTTGATGTTTGAAAGCAAAAACAAAATCCCTGCAAAACTCTTCATGCATCTACGTAGGTCGTAAATGAAGTCCAGTAGAGTAAAAGTGACCTCTAACAAAACTTTGAAATAAATACCTGAAGCAAAAAATCCAGGGGAGTCTTCTTACAGATGTTTGTAGTTGTCCAAAAGCTTAAGTTCTGTGTCTGAGCGCATTAAATGAAATATGTCCCATTGGCCCTTTTCTTCCACTCTCCCTATTAACTTTTTTTTTTTTTTCTGGAGGAGAATTTGCTGTTTAAAGCTTGTTCCAGATACAGTAGTCAGTGCAGAGTGAGAAAGTACATTGAAAGTAACGGTGAAAGTCTTCTCCCAGCTTGGAGAAATACACAGCATAATTTGCAGGCTGTATTTTAGTGTTCTCCGGTCAGCAAGAAGTTGGCAGAGATCCCTCAGGAGAACAAGCTCAAATTATGCAGGCCATGACTGCCTTTAAGTGGAGTTTACTCTAACATGTCTTATATAAGACACTTCTAAGATAATTTGGAAATTTCAGCAGCAGCAGAACGTATCTTGCTGATATTTATCTTTTTTAAAGATAAAAATGCTCCATGCTATTTCTAACCTAGTAAACTCTGTTTGAATATTGCTTCCTCACTGATGATCTGTGCAGGTTGTTAGAGTATATCCACTGTGATGCATATGATACTAACTCCTCATGATATAAAAGACACTGGTTATCTGTCCTCTCTGAGGGGCTTGAGATTTGCAGTGTATTTTCAGTCTAGGGGAACTGTCTGGATTTAATTATCTTCTTCCAGGATCTTCAGTTTTTGCAAAGTTAATGGCAAAGAATCTTACTTATTGAAATACTCTGGAAATGTTTTATAGTTATTTTTTTAAAAATTTATTTAAAATGTCTCTCTGTATCTAAAGAAAAAGGAAAAAAAAAATTAAAAAGTAATTTTCATCAGCATAAATTTCCTATAATTCTGAGCTTCTCAGTAGCAACAGCTGTCACTTGCATTTTCTACAGCTGTGAAATATTTTTGGACTTAGCATTTTTATTACCTTCATTACCAGCAACTCATTACCCTAGTTATGGGGTTCTTTTTCCCTCACTCCTGTACTTGAAACACACAGGGAGAACTATTGAGGATATCTGCAGAAATAATCCTGGTCCTATGAAAGCAGGGCAACAATAAATTTACCTGAAGGTCTCTGATTCCTGGGGATAGGAAACCTATTCTGATTGGTCTTAACTGAAAGATTTGTGAGAATCTGATGGATGTGGCAAGTGTCATAGCTGTTGGTTTTCCAAGTCCATATAGAGCTTATAGAGCAGAAAATACTCCACTGTGAAGATTTTTCTAGTGTACAAGTAATATCTCCTTATATTTTGTATTGTGATCCCTGCTGTGTCTCTCTTGATTTCAGAAACATTCCCTTTACATATGGCCTTGTGCTGACTATGTAGACAGGTTGCACCACAGTGTCAGTTCAGCTTTAAGAAGGCTTCACTGGATTTTTTAAATATTTGATCATCAAAGTATTTAATATTTTCTCCTAGAACTGTTGTGTACTGCTAGAGTTGTAAGTGGTACATTCACAGAAAAAATATCACTTCCTAACTGGAGGCTTCAACTCTCTTGGTGAGTTGTGATTACAGCTGATTTACATCTACCCAAAAAAGACTCTCAAACTAACTTAAGCACCTGTATAAACAAATACATTGCCTGACTTGATCCTGCTTTTATCACATTGAAAAAGACCTAATAGGGTAGTTTTTAAATGTATATGGATATCAACAGTAGTAGTAGAATTTTAATTTATTTTGATTTTTCGATTATGTCAATGCACTTTATATGAGGGCTTAATGTGAACTACAAATTAGCTTGTATTCTTTTTCCTACCTAAACTTGATTTCAACAGGGTTCAGAATTCTCTGCTTAACTTCAAGCATGTGAACAATCCCATCAAAGTAAAACAATCAAATCCTGCTTATTTGAGAAGGTAAAAAACAAATAATATTTTTTCTAACATAAACAGCTTCATTCATATTTATTGTTTAAAAGGTATGATGTATAAAAAGTATTTTTACTTATATCTACATATAAAACCCCAGATAAGGAGAAAAGATAAGAAACAGCCTTCCCACTCAAGTCCCTTGTCCAGGTATACCATCTAACTTGCCTTTCAAAATCATTAATTTAAAAAAAAAAAAAAAAAATTTCTTTTCCATGGTTATGAGTGCGAAAAAATATAAATGTTTTTGTACATACTCTACAGATTGTGTGTAGGTATGATCAATATTACAATGAGAATATAAGCAATCAAAGTCCTTAAGCAGTGATGCATCTGATGCTGTTTAAGCAAGAGGGTCAACAGTATATGAAATTGTGTGTAAGTGGAGAACAGAGCTGGGAAGAATCTAATGCAAGGGTAATGGGTGGCAGGTTGATGGCTTTTTTTCTTTTCCAGGGGTGGTGGTGCATAGCCATTTTCTGTGAAATACACTGAAGTAATATTTATAAAATAAATCTCTTGGAATAACAAGAAATGAGATAAAATGATCATGTAACACCGCAAAGTATGTATCAGGGTACTTCAATATTTTGATCAAACAGCGAGTGAATTTACATCTTTTTATTACCAGGGTGTTATCTTTATCTGCAGGATAAGTGTAAGCAAAAAACCACAATTGCATTGTAACTATTGAGACAAAAAAAAAAAAAGATTGTATCCCTAAAGCCTTGCACTTTGTGTAGTCATTTCTAACTATCTGAAGTAGGTTTATATAATTGTGTGTCATGCAGCCATGGTAATGTCCTTATGCTAGATATTGACATACTCTAAACAGTAAGGAAACATTAAAGGGACTCATGACCCAGATCCTACGCCAAGAATTGCGTTTAGTTAATAGGGTCACAGTTTTGCTTTTCCTTTCCAATGAAGGATCACATTCTTTTGAGAAGTCTTTTACACAAATACGTCCACAAACAGTTTAGCCTATGAGAAATTCAAACTGAGTTAATAAGAATTAAAATTGGGCCAACTCTGACTATTTTTGGAAAATGTACCTGTTTTAATAATGACAATGGCCATTAGAGAGCTTTAGGCATTTTTTTTTTTTTTAACAGAAGTGTTCTTCTTTATGTATTAAAATTTGACTTTGTATCAGATAATTTTGTCATTGTGGTGTTCTTGATGAGTATCCTGCTGATCAGAATGGTATTTTTTTTTAAACTGCTGACCACTATAAAAATTGAAGAACTAATAAGACACTGATTTTTGTATTATATGCTACTAAACATCCATTTAATTTCAATAACAGTACACTGCAAAGCCAGTTGTTATATAATATTGAAAACAATTTTTAAAGTATAATTGGTAATACCGTACAGATTACCTGAATTAGAGGCTTTAAAAGGGTAACAAAGAAGAGAAAAGGAGGAAAATATTCACTTGAAGATTAAGTATAAATAATGCACTGCTGAAAAATATTGAAAAGATTACAGTTCTACATGAGGCAATGGAAAGCTTTTACACTGAACATACTCTAGTCCAGGATTTCCCTTTGATGATTTAGATAGTAACTTAAATTTAAAAACAAAGAAATGAAAATATTTTTTTTAAGAGATAACACACTAAAAAAGGCAACTTAAAAATAATCTTGGAGCAGAATTTACAATAGTGAAGATAATTGCCCCAAGGCACCTAACTTTCAGTTATGTTCTGAATAGGAAGCTGTAAAATATGTTTGTGTTCTGATTGGACAAGTTCATTGGTGATTTTTGTGGTTTTACCCTACAAAGCCATAAATTAGTTTAATCCTCATTCTTATTTAACACAGAAATATTACTTAATATTTTAAAATGTTCAAGGCACAAGCCTAATCTTTGGTTTTAGTATGACAGTCCTTTATAGTTTTTCTTTTATATTTTTTTAATTGTTTTGAAGTTTTGTAACTTGTGTGCAATAAGAACCTGATTGTTTCAAATTCAGTCTTTGTGCACTGATTGAAAAAAAAACACATAGCCTTTGGATACAAACACTGTTGTCTCTGAAGAATATCAACCAGCATTCTGTTGGTTTTTTTCATCAGATTACTGGGGACATTTCTGTGGGTTACTTTGAAGAGTTATAGCCGTTCATAAAACAGTACTATGGGATTCTCTTGGTATTATTTAATGGACATTTGTTTGTTCATGTTTCTAGTTGGCATTATTTTTACTGTTATGTTTGATGGGAAAAAAATATTATTTTTGAATATTTATATGGAATTTTAATTTTAAACCTTACTGCACATTCAGATATTTCCGTATTTGAACTGAACATAAAGGGCTCTTACAGTTTAGTTTTTCTTTCCTTTCTGACAAAAGAGAATTGGTTAATAAAAATCCTATGTTATTCTACGATGAGCCTGTGTCGTTTTGTGTAATTTTTTTTTAAATATCTTACGTTTATTTGACTTTTCTTTATACTTTTGATGGTGAAATACATGTTGCGCTTTAATAAACACAAATACTTTTATGACAATATTGTTAGCAATCTATCTCAATCAAAAGACTTACAGTATTTTTTCCCTAGGTTCTTTAATTGTTCAGTGAGAATTGTAGATTGAAGTTACTTGATCCTGTGCTAATAATTAAGAACAGACACCTCTTCAGAAATTTTTACACAATCAAAAGAATATATAAAAATATTCTACTGTGTTAAAAAAAAAAAAAAAAAAATCCATTCTGCCTTGGTGTTTTGCAAGTTCCTTATTACACTATTTCCCAAGTATCAAAGTAATTTTACATCCACATTTCTCACTTCCCTACTCCACTTTCTACTTGTTCTTAGTGTGAAAATATTAATTCCATAATTAAAATTAGGCCTAATTTTATTTTTTTTCTCTTCAGCTTGTTATAAAACACTCTTCCACTTTGCTTCATTTTCCCTGTAGCATATCTAAATGAGTGTCTTAACCTTCAGAGGCCAAAATCATAAATATTACTGGTTCAAATATAGAAGAAATAAGCAAATTATAACATTTATAAGGCTATAAAATATTTGTCATCTCTAATAGTGCTCTATTAATAGATGAAGTATGAAGACCAAAATGATTGCTTATCCTGTCATAACTGATAGTCTAGTGGCCAGCGCAGTCCTACTTCAGCTTATTCCTGCATGTGACCAATTCATATGGGCTGCACTCAGTCCAGCAGGTTTATTTGGGTTTTTCTTTTTTTCATCACCATCAGTATACCATTTTCAGTCCCAACTTAGAAAACCTCAGCTTGGCCTACAATTCTCCATCTAAAAATGACCGTAGCTCATTTCACAGTACTTATATGTCTACTGCTCTGTCCATAATACTGGTAAACATATATGTCCTACTCCAAGCTCTTTCTTACTGGTACTATATACTGTTCAACAGCTACTCCACTTCAGTGGTGTACATAGTAATTCTTTCTAGCATTTGGGTGCTTTGCAGGAATATGAAGCTTAATAGGTTATTCTACTTTATATATCTATGTATCGATCTATATCTTCCAAGAAAAAATAAAACTGAAATGTCATTATTATATCAGTAGAAGAATAATTCTAATCTATGACAGTGTTATACCAGTCCATATCTATACAGAACACTGAGCTATTTCTGTGAAATGAAATTACTGTGTTATGAGCCTTCTACTCAGTGATAAAGGAATGTCAAATTAGATGCAAGTGCAAGGAAGAAGAAGTTTAGTTGAAATTTGCACAGGTTATACAAAGTGTTTGGGAGCTGAAGAAACCCCTACGTGGCAACATTTCTATGAAGCTTGACTGTGTCCAAAACGGTGTCTGTGATAGTCTGTGATGTGCCTGAGAATTTCTTCATGGTTACATGTTATATACATTTCCGTACTTCCCTGTAAATTGTTCTCATCTTTTATGAAACAACAGGACAGGAATTTGTTCCCTATCACATAAATACCTCAACAGCTACTGGTTACTTGGAGTGAAACAATATTCAGCAAACGGTAAAATAATTCCTCAATTATTTGGTATGGATTATTATTTATAATTTTTTATGTTGTAATAACTCTAAAAATATTATTAGTGTTGCTTCAGAAAACCATATATAAGACAATGAGCTGTCTTAATTCATGGTTTCAGACTGAAAAGAAAAAAATATAAAACTCAAGGAAGTTGATCTCAAAGATTTTTCAGGTGTTAGAAAATCACTAAAATTCAGCATAGTTCCTCGAATTAATCTCTTTTAATGACAAACGTAAAATACTTTATTTAAGAAATAAATTTAATTCAAAAAAAATCCTGTACATATATTTAAATTATTTGCAAGCATATTTACATCTACATACAGAACTGTTTCAAGCAACCTGATGTTATACAGAGCACTATTTCAGAGGAACTGGCATGCATCTACCTCTATGCTGCTGCATAACACAGATGTGCACTCCTAGCAACACCAACTAGATACAAGTTCTGTTTTAAATTACTTTAGTTATTTTAATCACTCTCTGCTCGCTCCTTCCTTCCTTCCTTCTTTCCTTCCTTCCTTCCTTCCTTCCTTCCTTCCTTCCTTCCTTCCTTCCTTCCTTC